TCATCTTCGACGTGGTGAACGAGGGCGGTGAGTCGGAGAAGATGGAGCTCTTCGTCAACTTCTGCGAGGACACCATTTTTGAGATGCAGATCGCTGCGCAGATCTCCGAGGAGGAAGGCGAGAAGGAGGATGTGGATGAGGATGAGATTGAAGTCGGGGAGGCGGCGGCGGCGGGGGGGGGGGGGGGGGGGGGGGGGGGGCGGGCCCCCCTGCCGCTGCTGAGCCAGCCTCGGCCTTTGGGGAGTTTCTGGCCAGCGTCCTCGGCGTCTGCCACCTCTTCACCTACCGCAACGCGCGGCGGCAGCTGCGCAAGGTGAAGCGCATGACGCTCAAGGAGATGGTGACAGCTGTGGCCGGGATGCTCTATGCCACCGTCCTGGGGCTGCTGTTTTTTGTCGCCGGGATCCTCAAGGGCCTGCTGCTGCTGCTGTGGGCCACGCTCTTCGGCGGTGGCCTGGTGGAAGGGGCCAAGAAGCTGACGGTGACGGAGCTGCTGGCCAGCATGCCTGACCCCACGCAGGACGAGGTGCACGGGGACCTGGGGCCGCCTGATGAGGGGCAGGTGGCAGCTGAGGGCGAGGACGCGGCCGACTTCGCCGAACCCGGAAAGGAGGAGGAGGCTGATGAGACCCGTGAGGCCTTCGGGGTGGAGATGAAGAAGGACACGGGGCACTACCGCCTGGCTGCCATCGACGCGCCTGGTGGGCTGGGCGACATCGGGGACAGCACACCAGTTGAGCCACCCACACCTGAGGGCACCCCCATCCTCAAGAGGAAGCTGGAGGTAGGTCAGGTCGGGGTGGGGAACGTCGGGGTCTCCAGACACTGGATGCCTAGGATCTCTCCACTGCTCTGGAGAGGGGAGGGGGGGATCTCGTGGGTGAGAGCCCATCGCTCTGGGCTGGGCTGGGCTGGGCTGGGCTGGTTGCTGCTTCCACCTCTGAGCTGAGTGTGTGTGTGTGTGGGGGGGGCCCTCTGTTCCTTTCTCCCCCCTCAACCGGCTGTCCTGACCCTGCATCAGGTGGAGGTGGATATGGAGGGCGAGGGGGTTGAACCCGAGCCCGAGAAGGTGGA